ATGTTCGGTCACCTTCAGCAAATACTTAAAGCATGGCCCATATAATAGCTTTTAGGGCCACATGATCCCTCATCTTGTCTGTGTTCCTCGCCCTGCACCTTTTGAGAACTGCCACCTATGATATTAACAGTTGTCAGACACTACACTCGCATTTACTGCACCAGCAGTAGAGTCTGAGGTATTGACAAACCATCATTTACAAATATTCATAATACCATTTATAAGGTAACTGCCTCCCTCACTAAGAAAGGTGGTAAATTAAATGAAAATTTGATCCCCACAGTATCCTGCCTGGTTCTTTTAAGTAGACATTCAAAGGGGGATGGAGGGTAAACCACTGGCTTTAATGAGACATTTGGGTGAACAAGAAAAAAAAAATAAGTAGGAAATGGTACCCAGAGCTTCTGGTATTTTTATCTTAGCAGAAAAAAGAAGTTTTGATAAGAAGAGGCCCTTTCTTTGTTCTGCCGGGATCCAAGCATTGCATCACCATCTCCAGAAGCTGCTGCCTTGTCTGTGCCAGATGATAATTTGGGCATAGGCACAAATCAATACCAGGAATGGGTGTGCTGGGAGTGTGCACTGTAAGTACTGTGAGTATAAATAGAGCTGGAAGAATAACCTTTTTGTGAACTACTGTGTGGTAATCCTCGGGAAGCCAGGAAGCTGGTATGGCTTCAATGGGCCTTTTATAATATTACATGCTACCCCCCAACTGCCCTCCTACACGCACAGGGACTGCTTGCTAAAGTTACCATTTTTAATGCAAATCATCATAATGGCTTGATAATTATTTCAATTGGCATTTATGAAGCCATTCAGTAAAAGAACAGCCAGGGCAAAACCCTCACTAATCTTCCCATCTTTCATATCCTCTGGGTTTGAGGTGGAATAACACAAGAAAGCCCCAAAGCCAGAGGGTTTTGAAGTTTATTCTTAATGGACCCAACTCTCCTTGCCCGTTACTCTATGAAGTGTATTTGGCCCAAGTTAAACAAAATAGCAAGAGCATAATATTTGTGGTGGCTTGAAAGGAGAGGAGGCAATGACAAGCGTCCCCTTCCTCCTCAGCTTAGCTTTCAGATTGGTTGGAAAGCATTTTAACACGTTGTTGTTATTACTGAGGAAAAAAATAATAAACATTTGTTCAATGCTGTGATATGGTGAGTAACTGTTCTAAAATGTTTTGTCTGATAGGAGCTTATTTAAAAACATCTAGGTTTTTACTTTTCCACAGAGGGTGAGTTTTTAACTCTTTCACTGGCTATTAGGAGTGTACAATGTATTTAAATGCTGTAAAATATAAAGTATTGGTCTCCTACAAGGCCTCTCCCTAACTCTTCCTCTTACCTCCAGTCTGTCATGATTAGAGTCAGCCAGTAACTCAGAAATGAGAAATTTAAGACATTGCTGCTTTTGTGGAAAGCTGGAAAAAATGACTAACTAAAATATCTGTTTGAAATTGCTTTTCTCCCAAATCAGGCAAAGCGGACTAATACAGGTCAACATTACTACAAAATATGTTTACAAATGAAAAGCTCTCTGAAAGTTGTCCTTTTTTTTTTTTCTTTTCGAAACAGAGTCTCATTCTTTCCTTCAAACTGGAGTGCAGTGACACAATCTTGGCTCACTGAACCTCCACCTTCCAGGCTCAAGCGATTCTCTTGCCTCAGCCTCTCCAGTAGCTGGGATTACAGGCACATGCAACCATGCCTGACTCACTTTTTGGTATTTTAGTAGAAATGGGGTTTTACCATGCTGCCCAGAGTAGTTTCGAACTCCTGCATTCAGGCATTTCGCCCACCTTGGCCTCCCAAAGTGCTGGGATTACAACACATGAAGCCTGCTTGCTAGACTGATGGAACTATGTGCCGTGTTTAGTTCTCTCTCACTCCTTAAACCTACTAGTGAGCCCTATTTAGAAAGCTGACTTCTAACTCTCTACTTGAGAGCAAGTCACTACCCAGCCAGTTCAGTGGGTGGAAGATCAATCAGCTAACTTAGAAACAATAAGTTCAACAGTAGTTCTTTGTCTTCACCTCAATAGATGATGGGATTATTGATATTATTATTAAAGATCTATATTAATAATATATGTTTTAGTCTCTGAATGGCTCAATGGATTGAGGTGTTTTCCAAACTCACCCCACACAAGTCTTCTCTTTCCACTAAAGTGATTTGGTTCAGCAGAATTGTTTGATTTTTATAGCAGTAATCTAGATTTGAATAGATCCTTCCTGAACCTAGGGTTCATAAATCTCCAAATGGTCTGTGAATAAAATTCAAGGATTCTAGTGGAAAAAGAAATCTTTAATTTTACCATACTCTAACTGAAATTTAACATTTCCTTCCACTGTTAATATAGGCAGCAAACCACACATTAAAAGGACTCCTGATTTTGTTATCTCATAGAATGGTTATTGCAAATATCTCAGAATATCATTAAGTACATCAAGACTTTAAAATTATAATAAATCAGCATATAACATATAAAATACACCTGAATATATCATGTTTTAGTATCTTGATGACTATTTCAGTGAAATTGTTTCCTTTGTAATCCTATGTGTTTTATTTTATACATTTAAAAACATTATTTTGAGACAAATCCATAGGCTTTACCTGACGATATGTGTCCAAAGCACCACAAATGTTTAAGAACTCTTGGTAGTCTCTAATGTGGCTACTAATACAGAAACTAAACTTATTTCATGGGGCAGCCATACAATTCTGGCCTACAGGAAAGTCAAAGCAAAAAGCCCCCAGGTCATGGAAAATCCTAACAAATAACCATAATGGTCATGAGAAATCTGCATGGACCAATTTAAGAAATAGTTCTTTTGCTTCCTCAACTTGCATTGTGCAACTTCAGGACTGGCCTGAATGTCAAGATGACAGGAAAACCCAGATCCAATGAACAGATGGAGCCAGATGATTCCGGAAAGCAAATAACAGCCAAATGTCTATTGTCACTTTGATGCTTAATTGGGTAACGCTTATTTGGGAACAGAAAACAGTATTTGGTAATGCTGTTTACACGGTAAAACTAGCCTACTTCTCACATAAATTCATCTGCCGTTAGATCATCCATTAATTTCAAATGGAACTCCAAGTTCAGATGACTTCAGTGGTATATTGGAAAAACACAAATGTTAGAAAAAACTAAAAATTAAAAAGCAACAACAGTTTAGACAACGACGTCTGCCTTTTCCTAAGCAGGTAATCCACACTGTTGGCCAGCACTACAATAATTTTCTTTGGTCTTAATGGAACCTTAAATAATTCTTTACTGGAATCATTTGTGGGTTCCCTGGGAGTATACATTTGTCTATAATGTAAGCTTGTAATTATAGTACATCATATATCACAATAGTCTGAATTATTGTTGACAACATCAAATGTCAGCAGAGACCTGACAGAAAACTGAACTTGAGCAGAGCAAGATCCTTAGTATAGAAGGATTGAAGCTATACTAACATATATAGCTTGTAAGTAGTTAGTTTTAGATGAGAACATGTGCCTCATCTAAAAAGCACAGCATTACCAGCATCCTCGATGGGGTTGCTATGTTAGAAATGCAAGCATGCTGTTGCCAAATCTGCCAACATATCTGGAAAAGCTAAAAATGAGACGAGTATTTAGTAGGAAGCCATTCAGTGTTTAGAGGAATTGACTGGTGCAATTCTTTTCAAACCTTCTTTGAGATGATGAGCAAGGGTTTCTAAAGATTGAACCTTACTCCTGGGTCATAAACTCTTCTCTGCAGATACTACTAGTTCATAAAGTCAACCATCAATGAAAATGAGAAATGGGATTTGCTTTCAACACCTCCTACCAATCTGTAGATGTAGAGGGAAAGCGTCCACACTGCTTACTGATAGTTCACTGAAAATGAGCTGATAAAATGTGGATTAATAAGAGAAAACTGTGTATAAAAATTAATATACATGAGGAAAAGAATCACATGAGTGTGATTACCCAATAACCCAATGAAGTCCAGATGCTTAAATATCCTACTTAATAAGGGAAGAAGAGATGGAGGGTGAAATGATTTTAAGGGTAGATTAATGAGTCTAAAAACAATTGGCTGGAAGGAAGTTCTTCAGTGCTCTGGGAGAGGTGATGGGAAGATGAAGGGCAGAACTTCACTGTGAACAAAAGTTGTCTTAGTATACGGATAATGCCTCATGAACTGTCCTCAGAAGAATAGTGAGGAACTATGTCTAAGTGTTAGATATCATGAAACTGAGTCAAGGATTTAATACATCTTTATAATCCCTGGATTTCTGCTAGAGGATCTCTCTCTCTCTCTCTCTCTCTCTCTCTCTCTCTCTCTCTCTCTCTCTCAGTCTCGGTCTCTCTCTCTCTCCCACCGCCTTTCTCTCTTTTGAAATGACATCTCTTGTCTTATTATATCCTCATGGAAATATAATTGGGCTGTATTAAAGAAGAGAAAAGAGACAGTGCAGGCATTATAGAATTGTTACTTGCCCTCGTCTTATTTTTGTCAACTTAATTTACTCAGAACTCATTATTTTAAAAGTCAACATGCCCCATTATGGTGAATAAATACTGACTTATTTTCCACAAGACTATGTATAATAACTAAAATAAAACTTGTATGTATATTTATTATCAACAAGGTCTTAACTCCAGCTGTCATTCCATTATGATCCTGACAGCCTTCTCTATCTGCCTTTCCCAAGTCATACAACCAAACTCTTCCCCAATTCATTACCTCTCCTCATTCATCAATTTTCTTTCTTTCAACTGTTTTTCTTGACTCATATCCTTATTTTCACCAGAATCATACACCTGCTAAAATTCAGAAGGCTCTTCTCTTTCACAACCAGCTGTGTTCTCTGACTAATATACAAAAAAAGCCCTTGCCTAGGAAATGGTTCAGACCTGACTCAATTTCATTTTTAATTATATTTTCAGGTTGCCTTTCATAATAATACATTTCTTTCCACTAAAGATGTGTCCAAGTGGTTTATCTGAAAGTGACTGATATGTAGGCTGAGTAATCTCTTTTCGTCCTTCCAGATTCACCCCCACCTTGTCTGCCCTACTCTGTGCCACAGGAGGCTGACCTGAATGACAACATAAACCAGGCTCCTTTGCTCTCTGTCCTCAGTTGTATTTGAGCCACAGGTAAGAAACCCTCAAATGTGGGGGAGAGAGAACACAGGTTGGTGGTGATCATTTCCTTATCAAGGGCATCAAGTGTGAGCCTTCATGTCTAAGGTTCTCAAGGCTTTCCTGCTATTTTAACCTCTTGGGTGTTTCATCTTACCTGTGATTTCCCTTATCCACATTTGTGTGTCTGAATTGTTCATTTATTAAATTCCATTTTCTTCTCCATATTTGAACATGTAATTAGTTTCTGCCCATACCCTGGTGACACAGTAAGGAAACATTCTTAGTGCATGGTAGATGTATGGTGTAAATAAGAGATCAAGATCTAGATTTAAGCCTTAATTCAATTTTTTTCTTGTTAAGCAAGATTTTTTTGTTATAAAGTGTGGAAAAAAATCCAAAGAATTGTGAGAATTAAAGAGAGAAAGCACTGACAGTGGTGGCAGATACATTGTTTACTCTATAAAACTCTTTGTTACTTTTCTTCAATCAGAATCTTAGTGCTTCAGAATTCTGTGGATACTCTTCACTCCAAAACCTGAGCCTAACCTGTAAGTGCTTAAATATTTTTTCCACTATAGAAAATATATATTTTCTTAATTCTATAGTATTTTCTATACAAATGTTTGTAATAGAAAATAATAAAATGCCTAACTAATATTTGTGTGCGAATGTATACAAAATGATTCTTTACCTTAAATGGGTTCATACAATTTGTACATAGAAAAAAATGCTAAAAATACACAAATATTATCAATATTTCCTTAATATTAGGTAAATGTAAGATTCTATGTATGTATGTATGTATGTATGTATGTATGTATGTATGGGAGGAATGTTTTCACAGGAACTCACTTTTTATAATTGTTTAAATAGATTATGTGATGTTCATAGTTGAAAAGAAATCTCTGTGCTAAGTATATAATAAGTACATAGGGCTATGACTGCTAGTTTCAGATTTTCAGGAATCAATAGGTAAAAAAGCATCTCCTCACCCTTAGTCAAAAATTAGTGTGTTGTTTCTTTGCGGGAGTGACTATTGGGAAAATTGAGAGAAGAGTGGAAATGTTTTTCTCTCAAATGTTACCCAATAATTATTGCAACTATAAGTCAGGATAGGTAGGCGATGTTTAACTTTTCAAATTCTATTTATTACTCACAGGAAGAACACAATAATTCAATCAGTATCTGTCTTCCAGTGCTACCATCTTAGTACATAGTTTCTATGTGATTCACAGCCTCATGGAAGAAACATGTGAAGACATTACACCTCATCCTGTATATTTTGACCTGGAAATTAGATATGGCACTTCTGTTCATAGCTTATTGGCAAAACTAGCCACACGATCCCACAGAAGAGCAAGTGGGCTATGAAATGTGAAGAAGCTTATGGGCTTTTTGGGAAAAATTGAGCAGTTAATATTACGGCCATACCCAATGTTATTTTAAGGTTTCTCACTTAATTTCACTGAGTATTATAAGACAGATAAATGTGTCTGTGCGAATCACTGCATTCTATATTAAAACCAAAAGCTATGGAACAATTTCAGCAAATTAGAAGGTGAATCTGAGAAGTTATTTGGGGGCACACTATGCTTCTTTCTCAGTGCAGACTTTTTTACCTTTCACTAGCTTGGATCTCCATTTATATCATTATTTCTTAATAGGATACCTCTTTAAACATGGCTATTTATATAGACAAGGTTCCTTGGTGATTGCATTTGTTCTTATCATAGGATAATAAACAGAATATAGGAATTCATTATTAATAAGGCAACTTGAGGAATCTTGGCCATTTTCTTAAATCAAGATAGGACACATTTAAGTAATATCAGATAGAAAATAATATTTCAGTCAAGATTTTCAGAGAGTAGATTATATGCTTTCCCACAGTAATTACCCTGAAAGTGAACAAGTTGAAGATCAGACAATTTCTCAGAGCACTTTATAATTCTTTCCTTTGGTTTTGATCTCAGGATAAGTAAACCACAGTCACTCTCTATTCTTGCCTAAGATACTGTTTCCTTTTTATTTTATTTCATGTATTCTTAAGTATTATCCTTCTCGGTTGTCCTGTTTGTTCTTCTCTGTGATGAAAAGTCCTGGTTCTTTGAATGTTTCCTTGTAGATTTAAATCCCTAGGTCTTATTCAACTCTGTGGCTATTTTTTCTAAACTTCCCAACTCTTCTATTTTGATATTTCAGGATATAACCTAGATTTTGGACAATGCAGCAAGAATAAATGAGGTATTATTATTTTCTACTACAAGTACATTAAAGTGGCCACACTTAGAACATTCTTTACAAATACTGCCACAGCACAATATATAAAGGAATGCAGTATTCACTTAGAAAGTTAATTCTCTACAACTAGATTTTACATTGAATGTATTCCTATTTACTTTTTTGCTTGTTTTTACTTTCTAGTCCTCTTGAGGCCTGTCAGCTATATGACCTTGGGAGAGTGTGTGGATTATTTCTGGCTGAGAGTGGAAGGAGAAATCGCATGGGAAAGGAAATCCTCACACGAATGTCAGCTGAATTTTGGATGGTGATGAAATTCGGATGATTTAGATAAGCTCTGGATGAACAGATAACATTTTGGGCAATCATTTGAACTTAACTATGAACTCCCAAGAGTACATGGTTCATGTATCATCGGGTATCCAGAAGGCTAATTAATCTATCCGCCCTGATTTCCTAGGGTATCTTATTGCATCACACTCAAACAGTTGCAGATTTGAATGTGGACTTCAAAATCCCTTCAAGCAATACAGTATGTTAGGAGAAAAATACACTGTGGAAAGCTGCTCAGTGAATTGTATCAGATTTCAAAGTCATCTTTTCAACTGTTGTATTGCCTATATCAGAGTTTGTTATTTTTCTGGTCCTAGCTGAGAGTTGAGCTCATTCTGAGGGAAGTATTTAAACTGTTAACTGACTTTGAGGCCAGTACAACTAAGGAAGATTGGAAACTTGGCATAGCCTGCTTCTCAAAGCATTTAGAGCATCTTTCTCAAATTTGTTTGTTTTTCATTTGTTGGTTTGGTTTTGAGACAGTGTCTGGCTCTACCAGAGTGTGGTGGCACAACCTCGGCTCACTGCAACCTCCACCTTTTGGGCTCAAGTTATTCTCCTACCCTGGCCTCTGGAGTAGCTGAAACTACAGGCACTCACCCAGCTAATTTCTGTATTTTTTGTAGAGATGGGTTTTCTCCATGTTGTCTAGGTTGGTCTTGACCTCCTGAACTCAAGTGATCTGCCTGCCTTTGCGTTCCGAAGTGCTGGGCTTACAGGTATGAGCCACTGTGCCAGGCCCCAGTTTTAGGATATGTATAGTTTACTATAATTCAAAGGCAAAGATAGGATTTGAAAGATTTAGGAAGAACTCATACCAGTTTGGCCTCTGGAAGTGTGAGAGATGCTTAGGTGGACATATGAGAAAACATGGAAAAGAATCCAGGCCCTTGGCTTATCTAGTCTGATTTAAGTGACTTTAAACAAGGTTTTAGCTTATTTTTCTGTTTCTTTATTTGAAAATATGTTATAAGAATATCTGTCTTGTTTCTATTACATCATATTTTGAGGCACACATGATATCAGGGGTTATTCCTTAGTTTTCATATAATGAATCCCATGGGTAGCCTGTATGGAGTCTATAAAATGTCTCTCAGAATAAAATTTTTTAAATATAAATACACATACACATGTATAGGCATACAGGTTTTTTTTTTAAAGAAAAACAAGCTTTTAAAAAGATAGTTTTCTAAATGCAAAATAATAAATTTATAATAAATACATGTGTTTCTTTATCAGCACCTTGTATAATAAGAATCTAGTGATGTATCTACTACCATTATTTAATTTTACAGTTTGTGACAAGAGTGTACTGTGTCATAATAAGACTGGGCTTCTATTGATGATGTCACCAAGATTGTCAACATAGTACCCCATAGGAAGCTTCTCATCCCTTACTTGCCTCCCTTCCTTCCCCCTCTTCTAGTTCCCAGAGTATCTATTGTTCCCAACTTTATGCCCATGTTACTCAAGGTTTAGCCACTACTTATAAGTGAGAACATGTGATATTTGGTTTCCTGTTTTGCTTTAATTCACTTAGGATAATGGCCTCTAGTGGCATGCATGCTGCTGCAAAGGACAGGATTTTGTTATTTTTTTGGCTGTATAATATTCCATAGTGTATATGTACCACATTTTCTTTATCCAGTCCAGTGGGTTGATGGGTACCTAGACTAATTCTATGTCTTTGCAATTGTGATTAGTGCTTGATAAATATACAGGCACAGATGTCCTTTTGGTGGAATAATTTATTTTCCTTTGAGTATATATCCAGTAATGGGGTTGATGGGACCGAATGATGGTTCTATTTTTAGTTCTTTGAGAAATATTCATACAACTTTCTACAGTGGCTGAACCAATTTATGCTCCTATGAATAGTTCTCTTTTCTCCATAGTCTTGCCAACATGTTATTTTTTCACATTCTAATAAGCCATTCTGACTGGTGTGAGATGGTATCTCCTTATGGTTTAGAATTGCATTTATCTGATCGTTAGTTAAGTGGAATATTTTTAAACATGTTTCTTGGCTGTTTTATGTCTTCTTTTGAGAAGTGTGTGTTTATGACCTTTGCCCATATTTTAATGGTATTTTTTGTTGGTTGGTTTATGTTCCTTATAGATTCAGAATATTAATCCTTTGTCAGATGCATAGTTTGCAAATATTTTCTCCCATTCTGTACATTGTGTGTTTACTATGTTGACAGTTTCTTTTGCTGTGTAGAAGCTCTTTAGTTTAATCAGGTCCCATTTGTCAATTTTTGTTTTGTTGCAATTGCTTTCAAGGACTTAGTTATAAATTCTTTGCCTCAGTCCCTGTCCAGAAGAGTATTTCCTAGGTTTTCTTCTCAGATTTTGATAGTTAGAGGTTTTACATATAAGTCTTTGATTTCTCTTGAGTTAATTTTTGTATACAGTGATAGGTGGTCCAGTTTCATTTTTCTGCTTATAGTTAGCCAGTTTTTCTAGCATCAACTATTAATAGGCAGTCCTTTCTCCATTGCTTATTTTTGTCAACTTTGTCGAAGATCAGTAGGTTGTAGGTATCTGGCTTTAGTTCTAGGTTCTCTATTCTTTTTATTAATCTAGGTCTGTATTTTTTTTTTACCAGTACCATCCTGTTTTGGTTACCACAGCTTTATAGTATAATTTGAAGTCAAGTAATGCGGTGCCTGCCTTCACCTTTGTTCTTTTTGCTTAGGATTGCTTTAGCTATTTGTCCTCTTTTTGGTTCCCATGTACTTTAGACTATCTTTTTTTTTTCTAATTCTGTCAAAAATGACATTGATAATTTGATAAGAATAGTGTTGAATCTGTAGATTGCCTTGGGCAGTGTGAACATTTTAACAATATTGATTCTTCCAATCCATGAGCATGGAGTGTAGTACCATTTGTTTATGTTGTCTGTTATTTCAGAAGTGTTTTGTAGTTCTCCTTGTAGAGCTCTTGCACCTCCTTGGTTAAATATATATTCCTATGTTTTTTTGTGTGTGTGGCTATTGTAAATGGGATTTCATTTTTTACTACCCTCAGTTTACGTGTTATTGATGTACAGAAATGCAATTGATTTCTGTAAGCTGATTTAGTATCTGGAAACTTTGCTGAAGTCATTTATCAGGTCTGGGAGCCTTTTGGCAGAGTCTTTAGTGTTTTCTATGTATAGAATCATATGGACAGAAAGGGAAGATAATTTGACTTCCTCTTTTCCAATTTTTATGCCTTTTCTTTATTTCTTTTGCCTGGTTGCTCTGGCTAGTTTTTCTTTTCTTTTCTTTGAGACAGTGTCTGGCTCTGTCACTCAGGATGAAGATCTTGGATCATGGCAATCTCTGCCTCCTGGGGTGAAGTTATCCTCTTGCCTCAACAGCTCCCCCAACCCCAAGTAGCTGGGAACACAGGTGTGTGCCACCACACCCAGCCAACTGTTATGTATTTTTTGTAGAGAAATACATAAAACACAGTGGGGTTTTGCCATGTTGCTTAAGCTGGTCTTGAACTCCTGGACTTAAGCAATCTGCCTGTCTCGGCATCCCAGAGTGCTAGGATCAAAGGCATGAGCCACCACATCCAGCTACACTTCTAGTACTGTGTTGAATAGGAGGGGTGAGAGTGGGCATCCTTGTCTTGTTTTAGTTCTTAAGGAAAATGCTTCCAGCTTTTTCATGTTCACTATTATGTTGGCTGTGGGTTTGTCACAGGTGGCTTTTATTATTCTGTGATATGTTCCTTTGATACCTAATTTGTTGAGGGATTTTTATCATGAATTGATGTTGAGATTTATTGAAAACTTTCTCAGCACCTACTGAGACGATCACATAATTTTTGTTTTTCATTCTGTTTATGTGGTGAAATGCATTTGTTGATCAGCAATGCATTACAATAATTTTAAAACAGTGATGAGTACAAAGGAAATTAAGAGACATCTGCAATAATTATAATGTAATAGGAACATACCCGTGATTTCTATTGGTAACTACAAAACAGTTTTTGTCTCTACTACTATAAGCTGTCACTTACTTTCATAATCGAAGTACATGTTAGATTTCAATTAGAGTTGAGTAAAAACAAAAATTTGTTTTTTCATTCATGTCTTCAGACCACTTTCCATGGAATCCCAATTAAAAATTTTAAAAAATAGCAATTTAACTATTGGAGACTTTAAGTTATAAATTTGGTCCCTTTCATTTTTTTCGATGATGAAATAAAGACCCACAGTAAGTCTGCAGAGTCACACAGCTAGGTAGAGACAGAAGTCCTCAGTCAGCCCATTTTGCCTGCATTTCATCACTGCATTGACATCTTTACCTCCTGCCTCCCCAGGGTTCTGGGTTTTTTTCTCTATTTGCTTCCCTAGGAGAGCACATAATCTCTTCTTGATGCCCTTGGGCCTCCACAGAGTTTTCTTTAAGGTATTTTTTTATGTATTAATTTCATTAACAAACTCTTCATAACACAGCTTTGTTGGCGTATTAACATTTTTACTGAATAATTTAGAACAGATTATTCTATTTTTCCATCCAGTAAAATTACCTAGATGGCTTGTTAAAAATACTGGAGGTCCAAATTTTCATGTCTCTTAGGTTTTCTACTACTGCTATAAGAAATTGCCACAAATTTAATGTCTTAAAACAACACAAATATATTATGTTATGGTTATATAGGTAAGACGCCCAAGGTAGGTCAGCTGGGCTGTATTCCTTCTGGAGACCCCAGAGGAGAATCTTTTTCCTTGCCTTTTCTACCTTCCAGAAGTCACCTGCCATTCTTGCATCAATTTGAGCTCTACTTCTATCACCATATCTCCTTTTGTCACTCTGGTCCTCCTGCCTTTCTCTTATTAGGACCCTTGCAATTACACTGGGTCAATCCAAATATCCCAGGATAATCTTTCAATCTCAAGATTCTTAACACACCTGCAAAGTCCCTTTGCCATGCAAAGTAACAATTAAGAGGTTTAGGGAATTAAGATGCCAGGTC